TTTGCATGGTAGCCTAAGGTGAAAGATACAAGATTGGAGCAGGGAGAGGGGAAGCTGCCACTGCAGATGCAGAGAGCTGTCTTCAGGTACATCAAACCCCTTGCTGACATAGCGGGGTGGGCAGCACACTCACATAAGATGGGGCAGCTCCATCCCAGCACGCCCTACCTCTGGAGAGACAGCCCAGGAGGTGCTCATGCCTCCTTAACGGAGGAAAATGTAGAAATGGAGGCAAAGCTCTGCCCCAGCAGCATTGGAGCTGCTATAGCAGCAGAAAGGCAGGGCTGATCCCGATGTTTCGAGAAGGCGTGCTGTCACTGCAGTGCCCAGGGCATCAGCAGAGTAACTCCCTCAGAAAAGTACACAGCTAATTAATTCCCCACTTACTGCACTGCTGAGCAGCTGCCATTGCAACCAGAAATTTGTTCAAAAGTAAATATGATCAAGTAGTCAGGAACACACCCATCTTTTGGTGACCCCCAACTACTCACCATCACAGCAACATAAGCCTTGATGAGAATTTATGACAAGCCACCAGCCAGGGAACCTCACCTGGTCTGGACAGCACACCAGATACCATGACTTGGACTTTTCCTTGGCTGAGAGAACAGTTATGCATTTGGCTTTTCTGGGCAAAACACACATAGGGGTGGAGCCAGAATTCTGGTGGTCTTTATGACAGTAGGTGATGACCTGTGTGAAGCACAATACATCAATCTGGCTACAGTCAGGGGCTTGTGCAGCCATCTGAAAGGCATTCCAGGAGATCTAACTGCAACAGCAATCAGAGTGAGGAACTGTATAATCTTCCCCTATGGGTGATTTTGCAAGAAATTATATAATTACTGCTTTCAAGATTGGCATAAAAGTACCATAAAACTGTGCCAAGCTGAGCTCAGGACATAAAAACATTTGGAAACCTTTGAGACAGACAAGAGGTGGGATAGGCGTGTATCTACTGTGCTGGAAGGAGACTCAGTGACAGAGGTTCAACTTTTTATGCTGCTTCAAATTGCCTGGATGGTAGAAAATATATAATTTTCCCTTGTCTCCAAAACAAGAATATCTTTTTTTTATATTAATTTGCAGCTGCTTGAAGCTGCTGTGCACTGTCCAGTACAACAGGATGTCTAGATATTATAATAAAAACCTCAGCACTAATAAGCATTTTCAATGTGGTACTTGTATGACAGACTCAGACTTTGAAAAATTCCTAACAAATTCAGCAAAGTCTGAGGCTTTGTCTTGCACTGACAGCACATTTGGTTTAAATCTATTATAGATAGATAAATAGATATTATAAAGTATACATTATGTATACATACATGCATATACACAGTTTTTCTTAAAAAAGAAACATAAGAGAGATGCTTTAAAGTGCAATTGCTTTCCTGTGCAAATTCAAACCCAGAACCAGGTATTTTAAAGCAAGGAAATTATGACCAAAGATATAAATACATCTCAGCATAGCCCTGACTGACAACATGAGCTTCATTTTCACGCTTTATAACACTACCTGAATCACTAAATATATTTCTGTTCTTGCAAGACAACATTCCACATAACTTTTATTTGTGAATAAAAGGCAGAAAGATGCATGCACAGTGCTGGAATCAGGAATAAATTATTTTGGCAGAGTCCATTACTCTGGAAAGCAGCCTGAATATCAAGCCTGGGACATAAATACAGACTGAGACAAACATTATTTCATCACAGGCATTTGCAACACTCAGGTTCCCAAGTTACCCCTCCTGAGCCCAAGTCAAAGCAGCATCAGCGCAATCCTCTCAGTGCCCAGTGGACCACAGGCCCTGGGTCCAGCACCCAGGGGCTCCTGCTGCAGCCACATGCTGAGCAACAGCCTTGCAGCTAGGTCTCAGCCCACCAGCCATTGCCACAAGGCAATGCAGCTGCATGCAGAGTTGGCCAGCACCCAACAGACTGCAGTGCCAGCACTCTCCACATTACTGGGCACACAGAATCCCTCAGACACCTCAACAGGTGGCACCAGGGAGGGCTGAGATCCCACTGAGATGGAAAAGGCATTTTTCCACCACCAGATGCAACTGGAAGTATTCTTTAAAAAATCCCAAATAACTATCAAGAGAAGCACCAAGAAAAGATTTAGTACTTTTCCTTCCCACCCCTTCTTACTCAAGCCAAGGCTCCCACTGAGCAGAAGTCACCATGTGTGCCACCCAGGTGTGAGAGTTCCCGGCCAGCTCCAGAGCAGCACAGACCACGCAGCAGCTGTGTTCAAACCACAGGACAGCATCTCTGGCCAGGCTGCCTCCATCTCTTCCCTGAGATTTGGTGTCAGCGCACGGACTGAGCCTGACCCAATGGCTCCTTCCAGCCCCAGGAATACCGTGGACCCCCCCAGCTTTGATCCTTGTTGAGAGCATCCGGCTTGCATGGGTGTCAGGCACAAAATAGATGATGTATCCAAGCAGTGCCCAACATCGATTAATGACAATGATGTATGGAGTCACATCCTTGCTGTTACACCTGCATTGTAATCCACAGTCATGTTTCATTGCACATGAGAACAAACCTGTCTGACCCACACGTATCACACCAAAGGTGAATGTGGAATGATTTCAGTTTGGTGTCAGCCCTGTTACAGCCAGACACTGAAGGTCAAAAAGGCTACAGGCAATATGTACAGGAGTGCCACCTGAGTTTAAAGAACCTAAGTCCTCTTGTCGGAGGTACTTGCGATCATTTATTTCAAATGCAGTTCTGGTCTTGAGGACTACATAAATAATCATAGCAACTATGTCTGTTCTGTCTACCCACTACTAAATGCATTTTTCACTCCAGTCTCCCCATCAGCAGAGGATACCTTCAGGGTATCCTCGTATTTCTAAATATTCCAGAAACTGCAGATGATTTACTCTCACAGTACTAATGTAGCTCAATCCATTCTCATTTTCTATTCATGACAGCAGTAGTTTGCTAAAGAACATCGGCTCCTATCAGTTCATATCGTTCATGACAACTTTACAGTATCTGATATAATTTCTAATTTTTGTGCCTCGAATGGCAATGCGCGTCCCAGCAGCTGCGTGTTCCAGGGAAGCGCGAAGGCACAGCCTGCATCCTGCCACCAGATGGTACTCCATATGGACACAGCCGAGGAGGACATACTGGTGCTGCATCACCAGTGGCAATCCAGGCCCTTCCCCCTCACCATATTCTCTCTAGAGCCTGTACATGGTGTTGGGAATCACATAGTCTAGTTCTCTGTTAATTCTGAATGCAACATAGACTCCAAGTGTGGTGGAGGCCACCACATGTGGCATTTTTCTGTTTCAGGACCTTGCAGGAGAATGGGGCAACTATATTTGTACATGCTCTTTCCCAAGCTGGTTTTCTGAACTTGTGCCATTTCCACTTCATCTGTAATCTCCTGAGCACCATCAGTATAGTTGTAAACTCCATGTGGAGATGGATGGCATTTCTCCAGGGACACACGTGGCCCTGTATGGCTTGGAGGCCACAGACTGGCTGCCATTTGGATGGTGCAGAAAACCAAAGCCCTGTCTGCTGCAAGCCAGAAGAAATCCCAGCCCTGCACATTCTGTGAGTGCAGAAAAAGGAATCCCAAAGTATTAGCAAGTTCCCAATTTCTGTAATTACTTATTGACTTAAGTGTCTCCACTCATACCTCTAGGTGGAAAATCTGTCAGCATTCTAGAGCAGAACCGTCCAGACAGAGTGATGGGACTGTCACCAAGGAGGTTATTTTTCAGTGAAGTAACATACCCATCCCCACATGAGCTATGGATTTCATGCCTTTTGCTGGAAGATGCTCAGTACACTTCCTCAATGGTTACTCACTTCCACAGACAGAAGCCAGATTAGTTTTTGACTTTCCTACACAGAGACCAAGACTTGTGTGCCTGGGTTTCTTACAGACCTTGTGCTAAAAAGCACATCCTGCAGCCTTCTTTCTCTGCTCTCCTACAGCTGATGACACTAAACACAAAGGAATATTGACCTTGTACATTGGTTGGAGACTGGGCTCAGGACAGGGGCACATCTACTTTTTTGTCTCACCTTCAGGAGAGGTCTTGTGAGCCAACAAAAATAGCAACCTGTAAAACACCTCAGGTGAGGAATGGCCCAGGGCTAAATAGCCAAGGTAAGGATGACCTCAAGTGCAAATTTGGGTACTACAGCAGGGTGCACTGTTGTCTTCCCTAGGACATGACGCTGGACCAGTGCCTTTAGCCATCGCTAGCACAAGCATGCCTGAATAAAGGCTCACTGCCAAGAATCTCCCCTGCTGGGGGAACTGTTGAGACTTCGGTGCCATTGTCCGAAATCTCACCAGGCAGCAAAACGGCCCTATGACTCAGGACAGCTTCCCTGTGAAAAGCAGCTCCCAACACTGGGTCCTGAGACACCCCCTGCCCATGAAGCGAGACATCCAGACATCAAATCCCCTTTGATCTTTTCCAAAAGGGAAGGCTAAACAAGAACAGATTGTTTTCCTTAAATGCAGGGGGGAAGAAGAGAGGGTGACGAAGGGGGAAATTGGCCTGCTAGGTTCATCTCAACCATACAAAAAAGTCCTTTTAACTTCTCTTAATGAGGACTACTTTTTCCAGATACTACCTAATTATTGCAAATTGCTTCATCTTTTAATTGTTACTGCAAGGCAACTAAACATTGTTACGTTGATTGCTCAAGAGTGGATTGTTAATGGCTTTAATCATTTGATAATCCAGTAATACAATCAATGTAACTCTGCACCTTGTAGGAATAATTTTTGGATCCACATGGTAAGGCAGTAGATGTTTCCTAGCATATGTCAGCTTTTGTGGGCTGGATTCTGCCACTCTTTCTCGGTTGCAGCTGTACTCCTGCTACAACCAAGATAGGCAGGGAACCCTCTTCCAGGGGTGTACAGCTCCAGAGATCAATCATCATAAGTGCCAGATATACTACTTGAACAGCAAGGCAAAATGTTAGGTGGGAGCTGTGTTTCTTACCTTCATGCCTCTGCTCTCACTGTTGGTCAGGACCAGCATGTGATCCTGGCAGATGGGGTCTGATGTAAGCAGATCTAGAGCATCCAGCAGCCTCATTCAAAAGCACTGTGATCACTGCTGTATTCTGTAGGGAGTCCCATAGAAGAAAATCAGAGTGTGAAGAGACTGCTCTTACACGATGTAAAAATAACAGCATTTGGCTCATTAATAGTATTTAGCCCTTAACAAATCTCTCTGGCTTTTACTTCCTTCATTGTTTTACTGGTAGTAGCCGTTGGTTCCCTGAAGCATGGCTGCCCCAGAGGAGGTGGGCTGGTGCAGCCAACTTGTTTGGGCCCTCGGTCATCTCCACCAGTCTGTGTTCCTGGGCCCACTAACTACTTGTCTGTGGGGAAAGCTGAACCCAGCCATCAATACAAGGGGCCCAGACAGGAGGCAATGTGCTCCATCCAGAGAGATGCTGAACCATTCAGATGAGCACAGGCACGAGGGACATGCAGAAGATGCCAGCGACAGCATAAGCCAGGAGGCGATCTGCCTGGAGGTCGTGGGGAGAGGTACTTCTGCCCAGTGGACCATACTTTGTCCAAGCACTTTTGGAAACCGTTGTCCACCAGCAATGCAGGACAGGATGGGACAGGACAACACAGGCCACCCATTCCCCTCCCCGGGGCTGATCCCTGCCAGCTCTTCATGCAAACAGGAGCAAATCTCACTGCGGACCACATGGTCTCCCCAAAAGCAATTTTGAGGCAAAAAAGCATCACAGAAGGGTGAATTCCTCCAGAGCCACTCACAGAGAGTGGAGGAGGAACATCACCTGACACAGGCTCAGTCACAAAAAGTCAGTTCTGACAGACAGCGAAGAGACTAATAAACTAAAGAGTTGCTTTGATTTAGTCTTTCAGGAAAAGGAGACAATTAAGAGGCTTGTGTAATTCAATAACAGTTAACAGGAAAAGCAGCTGTCATAGGCAGAGGAAAGCACACCGGTGTGCAGAGAACCCACAGATAAGCAAATACCCAGCACAGCCATGCTCACCAGCAGGGACAGGGAGAACATTATGGCGCAAGAGACCCCCATGGCAGTCCCCAAGATCTCAGAGGGGGAATTAGAAAGGGCACAGGGAAATCAGGGTAATCACATATCAGCTGCCATTTATCATCAGCATTTGATGAAATTAAAGGGCATTTAATGCAGCACACAGGGGAGGTATCCACCAAAAAAAAAAACAAAAGATGGCATGGCATGGTTTGGTTTAGCCAAACCCCACCCAGGACAAAGCTTGCCATTGAAATTCAGCCCCATCTTATCTAAAATGCCCTCAGATCAGTGGGGTTCCTTTTGATTAGAGCTTTTCTCCTGCATTATGAACGTTTACCTGTCAGCGGTCATCGGACTGGCTGATGTTTTCCAGCCAGGAACCTGTAATGTCAGTCAGAACCAAAACTGAGGGGTCCACCCCCAGCAAGCATCAGCCTTAGGGACCTCTCTCAGCATGGAAAATTTAGCAGCACGCAGAGCTGGCAAGCAGCAATCACCTAAAGCAGCAGTGTGAAACATACAGGCTGGGTCTGGCCATCAGAAGCATGCAAATGAATAAGTGAGATTTTTTTTTCCTCCATCACCTCTCCTTTTTCTTAAAAGCAGCTTCTATCACTGACAGGGTGAGGAAAAGCTGCTAAACATAAGCTTTTTTTGAGGGGCAGAGTGTCTGGATGCAAAGCGAGACTACAGAGGCGCTGGAAAAGCCAGAGGAAGGGTGAGATGTGCCACCCACCCAGGGTGGGGACCTCATCTATCAGGTTATCCCCTGGCTCTAGGAACCAGCCTTGTCAGCAAATGCAGACTTGGCACAGCCTCGGCAAGCTGCCCACTTGCACACACAGCCAGCCTAGGATGCCGTGGGGAGGACCAGGCAGAGCCCGAGGAATACCTGGATTTTATTTTTTCTCCCCCCCCCCCCCCCCCAAGAAACTGCCCTTCAGTGCCTTCCCAGCTCTGCGCTCATGATTGATCCAAGTCAGGACTCTGAGTAAGTCGTGTGCTGATACTCTTCCCTGGGGCTGCCAAACACAACCACAATTTCACTCATCAAAGCCCCCAGCCTGCCCAGGGCAGTGGGTGGGAGAACTCTGGGGAAGGGGGGGGTCTTGTTACAGGATCCAGGCCTTGGAGGGGTTTTTTGACTGATATGTTATTTTAACTTCGGTCTTCACACAAATCCTACCCACTGGTATCGGCAGCTCATCTACAGACAAGGGCTCAGAGACCATCGTGTCAGATACCATATCTATCACTGGGCAGATCCTCAGGCAGATGGCTGGAGCTACACGGATCATCATTTTTATTAATCAAAACATCATGCGGCTCTTTACATAGCATAAATAAGATGAAATACAAGAACAAAGACGTGCAGCTGATTAAAAATAGATGCATGCATACCTCAACAGTTCAGGGCCCGGTGGATAGAAATGTTAAGTGGGGTCCTACAGAGTGCCCTGCAAGGTCAATACAATTCAATAGTTTTATTAACAACTTGGAGACTGGACCAGGAGTATGCTAATCAAATCTGAACATTTTACCAAGGTGGGAGGGTGGCAAATAATACGCAGGACAGAAATAAAATACAATACGAGCTTGATAAATTAAAGAAGTGGCCTGCAATCAATACGAAGAGATTCAGCAGGACAAATGCAGAAGATTAACACATAGGAAGGAATAAACAAAAGGACACAGGCTGTATGGAGATATCTGGCCAAACAGCTATACAACAGAGAGTGGTCTGGGGGGATGATCGATTGAACAGAAGTCAATAACATCAGGCTGCTGCAGCCCAGCAAGGTAATTATTCCACTCTTCACAGCACTCGTCAGGCTGCTGTTTGGAGCAGCATGCCCAGATCTGGACATCACGTCGTAACAAAGACAGACAAGTTGGAAGGAGTTCAAAGAACAACAAAAATGCCAGAAGACTTGAAAAACAAAATCTTTGTGTACGTGTGAAAAATGAACCGCAAGCGTGAGACCTGACGCTGCTTTTGTTCAGTCTCATTCCCAGGGGTCTGCCGAGGCCAGAGGAGTTGCAGCCCTGAGAAATGAGGTTGGTCAGAGGAGACTCAGACAGCATGGGCTAGAGGAATGCAGCAGGGGGAGAGATGTGCTAAATAACAGGAGGCTACAGATAGGCAAAAGGGATGCTACATAGATGCAGGGATTAATTAGGGTTTATTTTGCCCTTGGTGAAATTGCAGGATTGGCCCAAAGCTCCAGCAGAGAAAATTTAGGGGAAATTTGATTCTGTAGTGTTTCTGAAAATTCAGGCAAAGAAAAGCATCTTGGGTGGGAGCTGAGGCCAACAATAACACTAATGAAAAAAAGGTAGATAAAGGAGAACAGATAGAGTGTCCAGTGAAGTCTGTAAAACCAGTCCCATTAGAAATGCATTACCTAACATACATTAGGAGCAAGCTCTGTCACACTCACCTCCCACAGACCCCTCTGAAAGAGCAAGCAGTGCATCCCATGCTGTAGAAAGCCAAGACACCCATGAGCTAAGCTGAGCTCCCTTCTCTTCTCTTCCCTTAAAACTCCAAACCAAGTCTCAACCACCTCCCTGCAGAAATAGTGCTGTGCTTACACGTGTGCAGCTCCCACTGCAATCAAACCTGGCTACAATTAAAGCAAAAACGAGCTCTCCACCCTTTGGTGATAGCTTAGAACTGACAGAAATCAAAGCTCCTTGGCTGCAGCTGGAGGAAGGAGCCACGGGAGCTCCCTCTGCCCCAGACAGCTCTCCCAGCACCCAGAGCTGGAGGAAGGCACTGCCTGGAGAAGAGCCAGAGCATCACTCAGTGCTCCAGTGTGGAGACAGAGGTCTGCAACTCCGCAGCACAATGTACGTTCTCCTGCCAAAAGCCCAATTGCACCATCTGCCAAATTAATATTTCCTATTTTTAATATCTCGTTTAAAGGAAAGAATTAAAGGGAGAAAGGAGAGAAAAATAGAATGCCACCTCACTGATTAGATTTCTAAGCTCTGAAAGGAATTGCAGCAGACATCGGGACTGCTTCTTTCCTGTCCTCCTGAGATCAGTCCTCTCTCCAGAGGTGTGCAGGGCTGCTGGGCTGAATGCAAGGAAATGCACCGCTGCACACCATGCTGCTGCTGCCACTACCACTTAGCAAGGAGTGGAGAGCAGGGAGGCTGGAGAAGATGAATCAACATGGTTCATTTCTTTGTGAGAAGCTCTTTCCCCATCCTATTTCCAGCCTGGAATCAGCCCCTGCCACCTTCTTTCTCCTGGAAGGCATGTAGTAGGGTAGTAAGGATTTGCATCCTTAAAGTGAAAGAGAAAGGGGTGAAAGCAGAGGAGAGAGGGAAAATCACCCCCCGCAAACAGCAATAAAGCACAGATGCAGTGCTTTGGGAAAGAGGCAGCCCATGGAGTGGGCAGCAGCGTTTGATGCTGAATTAGCATGGGACTGTGAGCAAAAGGCAGACGCTGTGAGCTGCAGCCACAGCGTAGGGACTGCTGCTGGCTGAGGAGCTGGGCAGGGCTCTCTGGCCCCCGGCCAGCTGCGGGGTCCCCTTCCAAAAATGGCACCTCCCGAGGCTCATCCAAGCAGCTCCTGGGCTGAACGGCGGCCACGGCTGCTGATGCTAATGGAATTAAACATTAATATGCTAAACAGAACGAAGACAGAGGGGCTTGGATTTGTCTAGGTAGCAGACATGTCTGAGGTTAATGCCTGCCAATTCTTATTTGCTCTGCGATGTCAAAATCCATGTCCTTATTAGCCATCCCATTAGTCCCCTGAGGCTAGTAGCCCATTAGTCCTGTCCTGGCCCTTGCCAGCATTTAGTGCTTTCAAAGAGCCTCGATGCTGCCGTGGGGCAGAGCGATACAACCGTCCAAGTTCCCACCTGGCATCCCCCCCGTCTGTGCTGGGATCAGCTGGTCTTCTGAGGTGGTGCCGGGCGTTAGGAAGCTGGCCTGCAGCAAGGAGATAAGGGAGAGCAGCCTTCACCTCTGCCACCCTGCTCTGGTAGTGAGTGGGGTCATCCCACCAGGTTCTTGGTGCTCAGAAAGGCGAGATGGGCCTCCTGCCCTTCCTCTTCCTCCCTCTGCTTCCCTGTGCTCTCCTCGGTTTCTTCATCCTCCAGAACATGTTGGGCCTGCTCTGATTCTCTCATCATTGACTTTAGGTTATGAGTCCTACGGGAGAGGAAACTTGTCTTCTGTTTGCCTATAAAACACCACTCCATACATAATTAATACTAATAATTAGCGGGCGTCACTATTAGAGACAAAAGATTACCAAAGCACAGCAGACTGCTAGTCCATTAAGCACAGCATCTGTTGCACGTACAGCGGTGGCCCAGCAAGGGACCTCGAGCTGTGGCTCCAGCTGACCGAGTGGCAGCTGTGGCAGCTCAGGGCTCTGTGCCTCTGGCACTTTGCACCAGTGAGAAGTTTTGCTGGCGAGGTTCCCCTTGGCCTGGCCGGGATTTTAGCTTTCCTAGCAGCAAACCCTGTTTCTCTCCCCTACAAAGCACCCTGGAGATGCCTGAACATTTGCCACACAAAGCTGAGGGCCAGGCTCCCAGGCAGAGCAGCTGAGACCCAAGTTACAGGACTCAAGCCTCTTTCTACTGCTTCCCAACATGAAACAGCAGCCTGTATAACCACACTTACCACTATAAACAGGGACTTGCTGTCAACAGATTGTGCAGCACTCTGCTAGTGAGACCTGTATCGTCATCCCCACCTTAGAGATGGGGAAACTGGGGCGTGAAGGATATGCAGGGAGTCAAGCAAAGGTACTGGACCAAGGTCAGTCAGCAAGCCGGGAGCATAACTCAGTTTTTCTGCAGCACTCCTATTTCCCAGCTTTAAATTAATCCTAATATAAGATTAAAAGAGTGGAGAGTGCCTTCTTCACCTTCCCCCAAGAGGGCAGTTACTCACTTTTGTAGTTTTCTTACATTTACATACCAGGCCACAGCAGTGAAATAAATTTTCTCTTCCTGCAACTACCAGAGTAAACGGTCCAAGCTCAATTTGGAGCCACGTGTTCAGTGTGGATAACTTCTCAAAGAAAGATTGCTGCAGACATCAGGATGTAGAGAGGAAATTTCCCTTGGACTGCTTCTTCTACCTCTGGAGTAAATATTTCCCCAGAAGTTCCCCCCTTCACAGGCAAGATCCTTCCATTTATTTCTATTCCCAGACCTCAGATTTAGCAGAGCACTGAAGCAGGTACTTACCTTTAATCAAGCACATTAGTCGCCCCATTGAAGTCAATAGGACTTCTCAGGTGCTTAAAGTTAAGAATGTGCTCAGAGTGTGCTGCTAAGCCAAGGAAAGTGGTGGTTGATGAAGACAGAGAAAAAGCAGCCAACAAATGAACCAGAACCATCTGCAAATGACTCCCAACTGGGCAGGCTCCCTTGTATCTCCTTACACTGCTTTGCTTGCTGAAGAATTTTTCATTATGAATACAGAGCTCCTGCTGCTGCTACTGCTTTTAAATGGTGCTTAGCAATGCTAGACCCCGGGGGTACGCCGCAGTTCCAGCCAGGGCCTCCAGCTCGCTGCTGGGGCACTTCCAGCCCTGGTGCGGTGGCTGCAGCAGGAGGGAGGTCAAAGCATGGCTCTGCCTTGGCCTGGCAGGGAAATAATCCCATAGCTGGTGCAGGTGTTGTAAGAGGAAAGCACTGATGGAAACACTCCTACTGGAGTTACACTAGCCCCAAACTGCTTCCAAACCTGCAGGTGATGATCTCCAATACTGCAGCTATTTACATTACAGGGAAAACACCGTGCAGTGTTGCATCCCACAACATTATCCCATGTTTGCTCATCCCTGGTAGAGTTGTAGCCCATGTGAGGGCACCTTGAGAAACGCTTCCCACACAGCATTTTCTGAAAAATTCTTCCCCATCCATCATATGTGCTCAACTGAGTAGATTCCTCCTTGCTAAAAACAAATCAACAATTCAGGACCAATGTGTGGTCAGTGGGATTTGTTAGGCAGAATGTTAACTGGAGTTAAAATTCATGTTTTGGGGACAGCTGCAGGAAGATGGTTGTGGACATCTGATATTGTGGCTTTGCAATAGCAGGTGAGCTTGCCCAGCGCCAGCACTGTGCCTTGCTCAGCTACCCGTAACCCTTAGAATGAGCACCTGCTCTAAACGGTTCTTCCTAAAAGCTCAAAATTCATGTTTTACAAATAAGCCCTTAAAAATTCACCGTTTTCTGCCAGCAAAGAACTATAAAATATTCACAACATTCAAAATGGATCTAGATGCAAAACAATTCTTTCTTTTTTCAGGTGATAAGTTACAGAAGACATTACCCGCAGCTCCAGTCCTGGGAGGCACAGTTGTTCAGAGTAGCTTGTGTATGTTCTCTATTGCTTTTTAAAGACATTATAGGTGGCAGATTGATTTTTATTAATTATTTCTATTGCAGCAACACCTAAGGCTGATCTGATGTTGCTCTTATATTGTGTAGGAGTAGCAAATAATGAGATTATCAGATTGTGTACTGCCTCTGAAAGTGCCTTGTTTGGGACTTGTATCATTTGTTGCAATGTACCCTGTAGACAGTATTTATCAGAGCAACACAAGAAGAATCCATAATATTCATCTGGCTATTGCCACCTCCATGGTAAAATGATGATGGCAGTTCAGGAAGACAATTGAAAAAGTTTCAGTGTACTCTGCATAAGGATTGCTTGTAACGACCACCACAGACAGTAAAAAATAGCTATCAGCCTGCTTCAGAATGCTCCCTTGATTGGGGCCATAATTTATGGGCACACCCTGCTTTGTGAGCGGCTGTACCCATGGCTGACTGGAGGCAGCCTGCTCCAGAGGCCATCCTGCTTCAGCATCAAGTCATCCATCACGGCTCCCAGGGCCAGTGGGGATGGCAAGAGCAAAGGTGACTGCACCAAACCATGACTCCAGACACATCAAACAGCTGGGAAGCAACAGGCCCAGTATCATCTTCAATTGCTTTAGCCAGATACTTGCCCTTATTATCACAGATGCACACGTGCCTGATAAGAGAGAGATATCTGCTCAAGAATAGGATGCACTATGCATAAAGGGAGAGAACTGCTGACAGGGAGAATGTAGCTTACTATTTAAATCCCACTTTAAAAAAAAATGTCTTTTTTAATAAAATTTCCTTAGAAGAGTCTCTCTTGTGTACACAAAGCCATGGGGAAATTTCCCAACGGGTACAGAGGAGATTACAAGATACAGCTTAGGCTGGAACATCAGGGGGTGGATGCTTTGAACTCAGGGGGTTTCTAAAAGCACAGGGGAAATTCTTCCAGAGTCAGAGTATTTCACAGTGTTTTAATAGGGGACAAATTACTCTTTTTTTTTCTGCCCTCTGCAGATCTGCCCAAAGAATCACAAACATTTTTCCTCCTTCAAATCATTCTCTGGTGAGAGTGATAACAATACACCCCTGATAGTCTAACACCACCGGTAGATCTCAAAGCACTTGATAAAGTTGCACAGGTTTCATGAGAGCTATTTTTCAGGGGCAGAGAGAGGTGAAGTGACTTCACTAAAGAGCTAACCTAAGTAGTTGAATCAAAAAAGACCTTATTATAGTAACACAAAAGCGTCGTTTGAGATACTACGATTTGACATCATCCCAAAAAATATAATGCTTTAGGGCACGACTCCATAGCCATTAACGTTTGTGTAAGGCTTTCCATTGACATCGGTGGAAGCTGGGTCTGCCTTTTAAAAGCTATCCCTTCATCCACTCAGACAAGCATTTTTTTTTTCATTCCCATTTGCAGCTGATGTTCTCCAGGCTGTTTTCTGGAAAGCGACAACTTTTCCATTTTCACATAGAGCAACGTTATTTCCATGGTACGCCAGTCTGCTTGGGATGTCATGGCGTGGCTCACAGCAAACACTAACGTGACATGACAGGCAGATGCAACTCGCTGAGCTCTGCCTTGGCAGGACAAGCCGGGGAAGAAGTTTAAAACAGCTTTTTCCAAGGAAACATGATGGAGAGGGAAGGGAGCACCAAATACTACCTTTCTGCTTCTGGAAGCAGAGCCCCCAGTGTTACAGCCCGGTGTCACTGTGGGCATGGCACCGCTGAGGTGCCACCACCACTAAGAGCCAACAGGGATGGCAAGGGCACCTTCGGCCAACTGTGGTGACCCCAGTGTCCCAAGCTGGGGTGACATGTCTCTCTGCATGACTGCCCAGCTTGCAGTCACACCACTGAGCTGTGTGCAAGCTCAGTTTTGCCTCTCAAAACAGCCAGGAGACATCCTTTAACAGAGGTTCAAAAAGAATAGATCACGTAGCCTACCCAGACTGTAATACCTTGGAGTTAAGCCAAGGCACCAAGGTACAAATGCAAGTAGCAGAAAGAAGAAAATGTCCCATGTCTTTGATGGCACAGAGCAGCTTCAGGATGTCCAGAAGAGAGAACTCATCACCCAGCTGGGCTAAGCCAGCAGAAGAATCTGCACCACATCCCCAGGGACCCATCTGGAGGCTCGATCACAGCAGGAGCTCAGGGCCTCCTGACCTCCCTGTGCTGCTAGGTGAGGAGCAGGATCTGGCCAGCCCTGGGCAGGTACGAGCAGCCCTCGGTGTGCACCGGTGGGGACAGACCTGCTGCTGTGTTCTGGCAAGGGGCTGCTTCAGCAGAGTGCTGCAGCCCAGACCTTGATTCTGATGGTGCAGCAGCCACCAGGAATATTCCTTCCCAGCTCCATCACTTCCTTGTCCTCCTGGGGGTGCTTCCCTGCTGCCCTGAGCCAAGCCTGGAAAACTTCCGGCAAGAGCAAGCATTGCATCAGGAATGAAACAGCACAGTGCAACTTTGGACTAGAGCCTGCTTTCGCAAGGTGTTGTATTCCAGCCACACACCAGACACCGTCATTTGTTGGATGGGGTGAGTATTTATGATGACCCCAGAGCCTGCATTAATTCATTTACCGTGATCCAACGACTGGAAGACATCCCTTTAGCTTCAATAGGATATTGGCTCAAGCCCACATACATCAAATCTATATCTGCAACATCCAAGCTGTCCCCATCTGTTACCCTGACTGTGAAGTTTACAGATGAGAAGCAGGAAAAGTTATAAAATGCAATGCGCAAGCCCTGATCTTGTGCAGACATATGAGGCATGCTTAACTTCTCACACAGAGTGTAATCTCAGATGTCCCCGTGGACAGCCAATGACGCAGAGACATCGGCACACATGCCAGGCTTTCTGCACGCATTGCTCAGAGCACAAGCATAATTAAGGTCAGCTCACACCTTGCCAAGCCCCAAACATGTACTTCCAGGAGCTTCAAGCAGGTTGAGGCAATTAATATCAATGGCTAATAATGTCCACTAATATCCACTCTGTAGCTATAGAATGAAATTGCAGAAACTCGAGGAGGCTCTCTCAGCTCTGCCTCGCAAGGCAGGATTGCTTTCTGCCATGCCCTGTGAAGGACTGCTTCTCTGCAGCCCAGGCTCTGGCAGCACCACGTGCCGCGCTGTCCTCTCGCCCCTCCACCTTGACCTCCAAATCTCCCAGGGCAGAGGCTGCCTCAGTGAGATTGATGACTCCACTTGGCTACACGAAGAGCCTCTGATGAGCCTTGGTGGTTTTCAGCTCTTACTGCAGTGGCATTTCGGAGCCTTTTTGACCTCCAGCAGCATGAGCACCCAAGACTGCAGCCTCTGTGGTGCAACCTCCACAGCACAGCCTCTGCAGCACAGCCCTGAAGCCTGCGTGGCAGCGGGGCAACACGTGCCTCCCGAGCGGGGCTGGTGTCGGGATGAACAAAGCCAGCACAGCGGCACTGGGAAGCGGCACAGCAGACTTTCAGCACAGAAATTACTCTAGGCATAAAGAAAACACCAACAAAGATCACACTTGACAAAAAGAGGCAGGAATTTCACACAAAAAGAGAAGAATAGAGACTTTAAAAGCTGCTTTCATTTCACTCCACAGCTCTGTACATGGATAGTCAAGCACCAGAAACGTTAGGGCTCGGGGCACACTGCAGGTCACTAGGATTTCCTCATTTATTGCTTATTTCTTATATAAACTCACTACAAACACAGGAGTCCTCTTCCTCTTTGTATTGTTTGGAAACAGTGAGACTGAATAGGATCGTTTCTTTTTCACTCCTCTTCCTCTTAAGGGCTGCAATAATGAGCTGAGGATATAGTTCACTTCTCTGAG